AAATAAAACATTGACGGATAAACATGTATGGCCTCTCTATGGCAACAAAACAATTATTATGCTTGCAAAAACCCAGAGCTATGGGGAAAGCTGGATGGATGTGTATGTGAAGTTGCATTCTTGCGCAAAGCTGCCGCTTTAATTGGCTGCTATGGTTTAAGAACTGATTGGCTGGTAACTGTTCTCCGGCCGGCCAACCCATACTTTTACGCGAAACGACACGCCCAAAATGGGGATAAGCGTATGAAGTCAGCCCTTGTATTTTCTTAATAGCTAATCAGCACTCCAATTTTCTGCTACAATTTCGTGTGCAGATTGCTCTCAGAGAGCAGACCTACTTGGCACACGACCATTTCCGGAGATACAGCATTTTCAAGGAAACATAGGGCTTCCCACAAGGCACAAGCGTCCGAAAGTGAGCAAAGTAAGAAAGGCAAGATGGATAAAAGGGAAAGAATCCTTGCAGAAACAAATTAACACTGAAAAAGCGTGCTTCTTCATTGGGTTAGATTACTAAGGTACTGGCGATTCTGCAGTTTGGGGTCGATGCCGACGACGTTCTCCAGGCGATGACCCGAGGTAAGACGTTTGCGTTTAATGTATCATAAACGATTTTGCTTATACTAACGGCCACTATGATAAATAATTAGAGGCCACTGATTTACCTATTGTTTTTAACGACACTTCAGTGTAAAAGAGTAGTCTCTATAATTGATTTCAAATTTAGCGAGATTCTATTCAAAACGTAAATGTCGTTTTTTGTTGGGAGCTACACAGTTCATGATGTGATATTAATATTTGGCCTTCTTAACGAAAAAGAAGCAAGCACTAAAGAATAGACAATTAAGAAAAATATGTGTATTTCACGAATTTTATTTAGTATTTTATGTTAAACATTAGAGATGCAATAAGGTCTTACAGGACAGGTATAACCCACACAACTGTACAGGCAAATATATGCGGGTAAAGTGTCAAGTCGGACATTTGAACTTTTTATGGGATATCATATCCAAATTGCCGCACATATTTTTGCGTATATTATTAAACGATTTGCATTCAAGAAATTTTATTAGACGTACAGTAAATTCCCTATGCCCAAACGGCACTTATTTTGTAGGTTGTCAAAAGTTATCATTGAGTTCGTCATCAGACTGTTAGAAACATAGAGTCGTCCTCATTGCGCGCACAAACACCTAATATATTCCCATATATTTATGTCAGACTCAGGCATCAGTTTTAGAAGAAATCAGAACCGCGTCAGATAAGCTTAAAGAGATACGTTTATTTTTAACAAAAAACTCGAAGGACTTCTTAAACTTACCGCTTAATACAGGGAATCCATTATTTGCCAGATGACTCAACACTAAATATATTTAATAAAAAGACAAATACAATAGAATCGATAGTACGCAATATTTAGTTGAATATGAAAGGATACATTATCAACAGGTGTACGTATTAGACGATTCCGAACTTAATTAGAAGAGAATTATTAGAAAGACAGACAAAGAAAACAATGTTGCTTCAATTAGAACTGAGCGTAAAAAGCTGCTCATCGTGAGGTTGTCAGTTCCTGTTGAAAACAATTCGTTATTTTGATATCAATCCTCTTCACTGACAAGTAAAGTCACATACATATTACCAGTAGTATGTAGTTTCGTTATAAATATAGCACTCTAAATCTTACAGCCCTTTGACAAGAATATTTGCAGAGGTGCGTCTAAAGATACTGGTTTAGGAGCTAGCGATATATATGTGCAGAAACCTATGCGTTGAAAAACCAGGTGAAATAATCATACTGTAATGAATGCGACAAGACTTTCAAGGTTCCAAATCATCAGAATGAACGTCTAGGGCTCTGATTTTCATGATATGTGAGGGTTATATGTCAAAATATTTCGTTAACGTGTATCAGCCATTCTGTGCAGTTTTTAATTTCCTTCAGATAAATTGTTCTTTTATCGAAAAGGCTTAACGTAAAACAAAACACAAGCTGACCTAAAATGAACTTTACGTCTTGAAATGCTCTTTAATTTTGCACAGAAAGATCCAATGTCCTTTTTTACGTTTTGTTTTTTCGCTTACAGACGTCATTTATTACGGCCTGTTTAACATATGGCAAATTGCATGGATATTTGTGGCTCTATTAAAGTTAAATATTTTGCAACGCGTTTGAAACATTTAAAATATATTATCGCACCTAGTTGGGCGATGCTTCGTAAAACATACAAATTATCAAGCCCTTTTTTATAGTCACCGCGATAATGCTCGTTTGGAAGCCCGACTTTAAACGACAAAATCCAGGAAGTTAACTTGCATCTGGAAATGGTCATTCTTTTAAATTTCCTGATTACTAAAAGGAACTGAAAGCAACTATGGTGTGTGCGAAGAACACGTCGATTCCAGCATTCTTACATTTGACTTAATTATTATTTAACAATTCAAATCGAATACATCTTATGTGGAAAAACTACTAAAATTGTAGGCATTGTAAGACGGTATATTTAACCAAGAAGGCCCGATGGAAAAATAATGCTGCTCTACATTTTGTGACACCAATCTCTCATCCGACGAAATGAACATCATCTTTGTTCATTTATCTTAATAAAATGTTACTGTCGCCACTGTGAACATTCAAGGCCAAAGCCTTGTTTATGGACGAGCGTTTTTGCATCACAAATACGTACAATTAATCTAATGAACCAAGAGATGCACTGAAACCTACGAAACATTTCTAATTACTTTCAAACCGACAAAACGAGTGAACAAAAACCCTGAATTAATAATGAGCGACATCACGCGAATTTGAAACATAAAATAAATGTAGTTGTCGAAATTTTCTTTCAGAAATAGACTTTTGAAACTCAAAAGTAAAGAAAACGCAAAAATCCCTATTATTGAAAATTCTTATGTTTAAAATGTTCAAAAAGGTCGTCTGTACAACAAAATGAATGAAGAAATCACAAAAGTGGAATAAAGTTTGCAAGAGGAAGTTGGATATACGATTTTCCTTAAGGTCTTGGTAAACATTTTACCAATTTCTAAATATGATCTCTTTTCTTTTATCGTATGACATACGACTCATGTGGAGAAAAAGAAGTCTGTTTCAGAGTATGGTAGATTTTAGGTTGTTAAACATCACGTCGAGACCACTCTTGCCTAATTTAAAATGAGGTTTGGATGCGCAAACTTAGTACAGGACGACTATTGGCAAATATACCTAACAAAATACAAGGTTACGTGGGTTTTGACTCCAATGTATAAAAATGCAGACTGAGAATATTGCATATAAACGCACTCTATATGCAAAAGAACACTTTCTGTACGGATTAGACAAACAAACAAAACATGCATCATCCTAGGCGCAAAGTAATTGTCTCAATTGCCTTTAACGCGTTTCATAAAACAGACCATATCCTGTATATTAATTATATTTGGGAAATAACTTGTAAGCTGCACTTACCAAAAATCATACTGAGATACAAAGCGCTCCCATTTTTAGGCTTTGACAGCAAAAAGATGAATAACATCCGTTTGAGCTGGTTCTTATGTTACAATTATAGGAACCTTCTTTATTTGAATATGTGCCGGCAGTCTTAGTACTTGCTTGTAGTAATTGTGTGTTACCGCGATTCCATAGAGAATAATCGTCTTTGGCCCAATTTTCTCTAAAACTTTGTCTTACTTTAAAACGTCGTTTTAAATGCTCGAATGCATGTCACTTCACCAAAGTATAAAAAACGTCTCAATATTGCAAATTTGTTTAATTTAAATTGCATGTGATAAGCTTTGCATATGTCATGAGCAGTATTTCGTCATATTTGTTCTTGCTTCCGTAAATCGTTCTATTATATTTGCATGACAAATTAATAACGTCGACACCTAAATATGTTTCTAAGTAAACTCCCTTCACTGACCAGGTGGTAAGAGATGGGGATACATTTTTGACGAAAAAAACGCAAACAGGTTGGAACTTAGCTGCCGCCAATATACCGCATGTTAAAGCAGTTTGACAGTTGCTTCTATAATTACTAATATTTGACATACTGCAAGCCTTAAGAGAATGAAGGAAGTAGGATTAAAGGAAATCTGCAGCGAGAGCAATTTTACATCCATGAATAATTACTCTGCGTTTGCCGAATACGACTTTTCGATAAATAGATCCGAGTTCAACAGCTGCCGAAAGACAATAGTTTGCAATGAAGTATTATTTTTGAACAGAAGATATAGATCAAGATTTTACAGGCGTACAAAGTATTGTGCTAAGCCCGTCATATGCGGAAAAGTAAGGAGTCAGATAAGGTGAATAGCCTTCCTTGTCATTAATATCCATGGTCTGTTGTCGTAACTCTTATAAAATTATATGAAATCGTACTGACAGTAGCTGCTAACATCAACTTTCCTTGAAAGAGAATACCTCGGCGTCCATAAATTAGTACTGGGTTCATTAAACTAAAATAAAAAACTGGAAATGCACTTGTGAAACTTAGAAACCGGCTTTGTTTATTGTCCTTCCGAATTACTTCATGTATTATTTAGATGTGACTTGGATAGGGACAATCAATGATGTTTTGGATGAAACTTCTTACGGTCTTATACCTAAATTAATCTTACACGTTCCATATTGTGAGGTATGGGATTTTATTTGGTTAGAATGTTTTGATCGTCGTAAGATGCAGAGACTCATTATATTTACCCACTATTGCAAAACGGTGCTGTAACAAAGTTTACAGTTTTGACTGGAAATATTGACAAGTAAAACAAGTACGTTTGACAGTCTGCTGTCGCGATTTTGATATTGTGAAGGTGAATGTTCTGCCTAAATCTACGCATTTGTAGGTGACTATCATCGCGCTGGTGGAAACAGTCATAATCAGGGAAACAGCCATTACTACTCGTCTTCATTTGGTTCCGAATCTCACAGCTACCACGGAACGGGTGGGGCACAGCATCACACATCCCACGGCGGTGGTCATTTCGGGGGTGGAGGACACGGGGCCATGGATGCCACATTCATTTGGAAGCTCAGCAAGCTCGGTCGCATTGGATCCAGCAGGTTGCGCTTTGATGATGATTTTGCTGATCGGCTTAACTACCAGTTCAGCGGTGTCTTAATGTTCCTCTTCATTGGAGTCATTGGCATTCGACAATATGTCGGTTAGTCCACTCTACTTGTTAAATTTGCAGTTTCTAGCACTTAATATCCGGCTCCAACCGTTGATTCTTCTTTATACTCTTGTCTGACGCTAACCAAACATCCAGCCAACAAAGGCAGCTCGCCACGTTCGCAATTTTCTGCTTAATAATCAAAATTAGGCAGAGATAGCACGCCCTAAGGTGCCGGAGGTTCTGAGGGCTTGATCAAAGTCAACAGTTTTTCTAGCAAGGTCCTCAGCACTGCATTGCCAACTAACAGTTTATTCAGAGGTTCTTTGGCAGATTTCAAATAATGCACGTTGGCCCAACTATTGAAAACTTAGTGTCTCGGTGGACTTCGAATCCAGGACAACAAAGGACAGCTTTAGTACAGCCAACGCTCTACCCCTCTGAGCTACGAACCGGTTATCGACTAAGATTTGTAAAAGTCGGTTATATTGTAGTAGCATGCACCACTCTATACAGAGTGACGGCCACTAAATCCAGCAAATGCGATGATGAAGTTTAAATTATGAAAAAACCACTTGATAATGTAAACATGGAATCCATTTCTGTTAGTTTACTCAAGTAAGTTAGGGCCATAGACATTACCTGCCGTAAAAGTTACCGACTTGTTCAAGCATAAGATAATGAAAGAGTGAAAAGTGGAGTCTTATTCTCGTTGCGTTTCGAAATAACAACGATGAACGATCGAGGCACATTAAGCTAGCTTGAACGCAATCAAATGTTCAGTACATAGTTTGCGCAGAAACTTGTGTTGGCCAATGAACAATTAAATTCAGATAAAAAACAAACCCGCCTAACCTTATTAATCAAAGAATGAGTTTTAAAAAAATAGAAATATTTCCCGGTTGTGAATATATTTCACGGTAAAGAAAGCCACATCCTAAGAATATTTGCATCTGATGTAACAGGTGTTTCGCTTACTTTACTAAAAGAATTTGAAAAGACATATAGAAATGTTTTCAAACTCCCAATTAGGTCACATTATTGAACATTAGATTTTTCTCCGTTAAATTATATTTTATCCTTTCGCATGAGAATAGCTTTCTGGGTGAAACGCTGCGCAAACCAATACGAAAAGTAATAATGACAGGCTGCAATAGCCCAGAAACTTGAAAAAATCGGTTCTGACATGAAACTGGGTGGAAAATCAGTAACTCGCATATTATACACGTCAATATGAATGGGCTTATCTGTCCATAGGATGGTTGTGTTTGAAAATATTTCTAGTGATGTGAAAGAGTCGATTAAATGCAGGAGGACATATTTGTTGTTCATTGTTATGATAAACAAGTAACGGATGTAATGTTGCCAGTAACTTTTGATAAATCCCATTGTGCTTTGGGTATAGCATGCCAAAATTGTAATAACCGGTCAACCAACGTTTGACAAAAGAGATGAATATATTTTACGTTCTCTTATATAATTTATCGAATGATTTGTAACTGATCTGATTGAGCATTCGCTGACTCTTATTTCCTTTGTGTTAGAATTTGTATGCGCGACAAGTAATTTAGTTTAAGCTTAACTATGCAGACGACCTCTATTTGGTCCTCGATTTGTCTATTTATTAGCTATTAAGGGCTTAAGAACTGCATCCCTGTGTAAGTAGTAACGTTTGCACTACAGAATATAGTTTGGTGACAAAGAGTTTAAAGGGAATCATTCGTTACGCCTTTCCACTTAGTTAATGGCGGGATGGCGTGAGATTTTAATTACATTTACGCGCCATTACAACTGTGTAATCGATGTGGGGTTTATCGTATGCTCTGGTGTAACTGTTTAAGGCTAGTAAAAGAAAACCAACTTCAGCCGCAGACCTAAATTGGGCCTTGGGTTTAAATAAGTTGGTCGTCGCTTTTGCGGCTAGACTGTTTTGAAAATTATGGGTTGTCACGCAATCGAAGATGTAAATTTACTTCATTTATTCGAGGTTCACACCATAATAAGACCTACGTTCTTCGTTGATCGGAATGCATAAGCGCAAAAGCGTTTGCGAGGGCATTCATGCAATTTTTTCAGAGTTGCGTTATTCGGCTCATATATCATCTTGGCCCCCAACAAGGTCAGCAAAAGTACTGGTGGTTCATCATGCAAGGCATTTTGTCACGCATGACTCGAGCCATGACTTATTGTTACTAAGTCTTCGAAGAAGAATCCCAAAACGAGCTACATTAATAATACTTTCGTAGAAATTATTGCTTGACTAACGCGAGTTTTACTTTTTAAATGCCCGCGTACGCTAGATCAAAGCCTCAAGGCAGAGAGCGTTTCCTACAATCAATTTATAAAAAGGTGCACAGTAGAAAAATGTGGGCTTTGGTATTAACAGGGTTCGTTCGTTGGCGCAAAGTAAACCAGCATTTTTATTTTCACGAACAGTTACTTGTTTTTGTGCTGTGTGCACGCCCCTTGAAAAAAAAATATCTCTTTATGCTACAATGAACGAGTTCCCTAATGGGTATATAATCATTTAGTGTAAATAGGTTATGGTAATACTTTTAAGTGGTTTGGACAATTAAAGATGTAAAGCTTTATAAAATTAAAGGCCAGATCTTAAAGGCCTCTGGAGAGTGCAGGCTTTATGTTAAAAATCGCAACCTCTTCGATACAAGTGTGTTTTTAGGCATTTTAGAAGGTCAAGTCGAATGTGCTTGAGGCATCGAGAACAAGTTTAAGAGTTACGAGTAAAATAGCAATTTGCTTGCTGGTATGCTTCACGCAGGCGGACAGAGGTGCTCAACCAAAGAACAGTATCGTCACCTGTATGAATTTTGTTAAGATTACCTCTACTGCTCAGTATTCCAGATACGCTGACGTAACGGTTTCTCTAAAAATCAAACTTCGAAAGTTAGGGATTACCCACGGGGTTTTAGTCGCACGTCATGCATCTCAGTTGAGTTTTTGGATGTGAAAGTATTTTATTCATATTTGAATGAGGCAAGCATTTCTGCGTAATATCTGGCTTGATGCACCTGTATTTCGCTGTGCGTGTATGACATGATTTTTGACCTTAACGAGTGAATAGTGTTTAACTCGATACCTTTATTTACATAACAAGGAGTGCTCTTAAACTGTATTGGATTTCAATAAGTCTGACTATTTGAGTACTAGTGAGTTTCAATAACTTAAGCGAAATAAAACTCTGTTGAATCGGTCATTATTTTCTGAGCGTCGATTTGCACAAACGGCTTTCTTACCAGTTTGAAAGAAAGAATGCTGCCAACCAGGAGAGGTAGCACAAAAGACTCGTCTGTTTTGGCATTGCTTACAATGGCTATGAGCTCCTCGTACAGATAGCAGGGATGCGAAGTGCAAACAATGCATCAAGCTGAAATTAAAAATATGCTGGTCGCAAGATATGACCCTGAAGAGACTGTATATTTAAAAAAAGTTACCTATAGAATATTTGCCGCCTGAATTGTTCGTCACAGCAATTAACAGTCAGAAGTTTTACAGACTTTTCAAACAAAAATCTGACTTTTAATACATATCGGTCTTAGTGAATACTCTGTAAATGGTATTTTGCAATTAACCATTAGCAAATATATAACTTGCGTTAATATGTTCTCAAAATAAATGAAAACTCAGAGTTGAATGATTCCAAAATTGTTCAAAAACGAATATGCATGTCAGTTTACGTATAAAATTTGACATAAACTTTTTTTAAAATAATTCACAGGCTTTTCACTAGGTTGATTCCAAAGCCAAGTAAGCGTGACCTTATACTCATTATTATTTCGCACCGTGAATCAAGGGAAAATAAAGCGGTGTAAATTGCATCATAGAAAGATGCTCACTTGTATTAGGTTTTGCATCTACAAGGCTAATTATTCCCAAAATTCAGGAAGAATAGAATAGGCAAGTGAAAATTTGTAGCAACCCGGTAAGTTTTACGATCACCCAAATGTTAACTTAAGCAAAGAAAAAGTTTCTGTAGGTAAAGCATCGCTGTGGCGAATAAGTCACAAGAACCTGATTTACGGAAGACGCATGTTAAGTGGTAGTTCAAACAACTAATCGAAAATTAGATAAGTCTATAAAAAATCGTTTTTGCGATCCGCAACCATAAAATGTAAACATGAAGAGATGCCATTTGACTTATAAGCCGGACAGTTCAAATGATTACCGACACACCTAGAAAAAAAATAAAAATTCATAGAATGTTTTAACGCCTTGCAGTAACTGGTTTATTTTCAATATTGTAAACTGATATGCAACTCTTTACCTTTCAAAATCATATCTGTCCTGCAAAAACCCCAAATGAGTTATTGGGATTCCATTAAAAGATAGTTCAAAGCTCAAAGCTGGTTTGAAGTTTTTTTGTTTAGATTCAATTATGCTACTTTAGCTCGCATCTTTTATGCGCAGATATGAAGTGATTTTTAGGTCATAGAGGATAATACTCAATCTATTATTAGTTTTCATAGGGAACTGTATGAAATGGAGGTGATGATGCCTTATATCACCCTTTGCGTAATGTTTGTAACGTCATATTTAGGGTAAAAATATTGTTTTGTAAAAATTACAGCAAATAACTACATCACTGAGATGCAACAGACGAGATTATGTGTAAATCTCAGGAAATGGAAGCTTTATTTTGCAATGTGCTCAAACTTTTGTCAGCGGCCAATAAAATGATTTATATTTTCGGCACTTCGTCAAGAAGCTTATTAGGTTATCTTCTTTATATGATGTTCTTTGCTTAACATATTATTCGAGTGCAAGAAGTACTCTCTCGGATATTGCAGGACAAGATAATATAGTATGGTATAAACAATTGGCCTGTGCTACTTATCAAGCCTACCTATGCTCAAAAAGCTTTTGCGTTTATATTATATATTAGTTCAGGAAGAAATTGCCAGGTAAAACGAACGAAATGCAAATTTTTAAAACAGTTCTGATCGTGTGTGCAACATAATTTTGTGGGCTATGACCCATTAACTTAAGCTTTTATTGTAGCTGATGATTTACCGTAGACACACATTTGACGTTCATTTTTTGCCTACATCTCAGGATGCATCGATCCACGTAAATATCCATGTTTTCCTTACTTTACTGCCGACCAGCCTAATCCCTTTGCGATCAGCACAAATGGTTTTTGGACTGCCAAAGCGGGCAGTCGCATTCCTGTTGCGATAAGTTTAAGTCGTACATCACTAACGTCCACCTTCACATGACATGAAGCCGGAGAAAGTTTTATGCTTTTTTCTTTCGAGAACGAACTGCCCAGCACATGTTCAGCAGGATTTCTGACCTGACATTCCTGCGTCCACGAGGTCGTAGGGAATCTGTAAAGGTCGATAGTGGTGCATGTTAGTTTACGCTCTATGAAATCAGCCATGTCAGAACAAGCAAACAAACAGGGTCAGAAACTTCAAATTATATATTTATAAGTTTCTGTTGACAGTAAAAGTGCGAAATAACGGAGTCCCCGATAAAAATCCATTTCGACATCTGCGAAATCTGTTAAGAACTACACAAATATTTTTGCCCACAAGATTCTAAGAGTATAAAAATTGACCCAAAAGTTTACAATCTAGAGGAAACAATCAAATTTGGAAAGAAAGTGAAAAATGACAATTCATGCTAAAGATGTTTCCCGCAGGATAAGGCAGGGGTAGGTCGACATATGCGGCTATTTCACAAACAAATGCCAAAGCTGTAATAGCAAAGTTGTTTTCACATGTTATGATACTCCTTTTGTATGCAAAGAGCATTGCACGATTTCACTTTTAGATAAGGAAGAATGATTATGATATGGTTCGCGTGCTCAGTTTTCAAAATCACGTCGCTATATAAAGAATTTTACTTTGAAGATCTGGGTTAACATAAAGACACCACCGTCGCACACTAGAGCATATTAATATTTTTGCGTTTGTCATTAGTATAGAAGACTGTTCTTTATACAGAAACGTCTCATATAAATCCCCTTTTTATTTTATAGTAAAAACGCTTATTGAGCAAACAAACGCACGTATACTTACCTAGCTTGCAGGGCTGAATTAAAAATACTAGAATGCAGTATCTATTCAAGAGACGTTTTGCCATTCCACTGAGCATCAAACGTATTAAAAAACGAACTGGAGTCATAACATGGCTGGCGGATCTTCAATACGCAGTAATTTATAGATGCTTTAATGACACGCATGTGCACTAGTTTCTGGAAAGGTCTTAGTTTTCAAGGCATTAATTTTATGGACAAAGTAATCTAAACAAAACTTTGCGCAATGTAATGAAGAAAATAATAACGAATAAATGATTCATCATCGTATGCGACTGCCATGCCGAATTTGTGGACTTTAAACGCAAACCTCGATCATCATAAGAAGATTCATTGATTATCGTGCTCTGTGTATTCTAGGTGCCATATCTATAAAAATAATATTTTTGGAAAGTTACAAACGTTAACGAATAAAATTGACCATTCGAATTTCCCCCGTTATTTACCAGGCTATCTTATTTTGCGGCAAAACCGTCAATAAATGGAAAAGGAAATTTTACAGCAAGTCATAAGAATAGAAAACCATAAGCGTTTGATATTTCGGCCTACGAATGGAGTACAGTGCCTGCAGCACGCTAAAAGTCATGAAGGTGCGAATGAGCATTGCACCAACCTTAAAAATGACGCGGAGTTGGTAGTTGTTAATGTCTGAAATGGAAAAAAGCTGAAATTTGATAATAGCTGGAAAATAAAAGAAAAAATTTCTTGCCGTGAAAGACTGCGTTGCGATGATAAACAACTCACAACTGCAGATCAAGCGGCGTGCCTTCAGTCACATCTTACTAGCTTCGTTTCTCGTTTTCGTTTTTTATAGCAGTTTTTGAAAACAGACCTTCACAAGGGCTATCTCGCTTTAGAAGCATTGCTGGATTTTTATGAAAGTTTTTGCAACAGTTACAAGGACAACGGGGCGGATATCTCCATAAGCACCTTTGTCGTTCGTTGCACAAATTTTTCATTTTTTAAATACCTGGTCGCACTTATTTCAATCTAGAATCAAAAGTTGCTAAATTTTATGCAACGATAACTTGCATATTTATTGCTTATTTATAGCCTGGTTATGTTTCGACAAAACACGCGCATTCATCGATGAGTTGACGATGGTGGAGCCGATTAACTTAGCTTCCTCTATCGCATGCATTTTAAAATTTTGATGCATACCTTAATCTCCCAGAACCCTGTCCCGTGAAAGTAAACGTCCCTCCACACTTTTGGTAAAATATCTCTTCGCTGTGTTTATAAAAACACCAGTATAAAGCTACACTGCATGCGGAGTTACATTATAGAGAAATAAACCGAAAGTCGATATCTAATTAACTTCTCCACTTAAGCATTAGATTCAGGTTTATTCACTTTCTACTATTTAAATGCACTTTGTAAACCGGCATACACGTAGGCGTATGAACCGCCGGAAGACCGGAATATACATTCGGTAAAGCAAATTATTTAAAGAAAGTCATTCTTTCGACAAATCAGTTTGGCCTCGGCATTAAGCGGAATCTTGACCCAACGGTTTTAATAGTCACTAGTTTTATCTATTAAATTATTTTACCGCTTTGATTGTCTAGGTTTCCATTTTCAAGTCAGTATCTTTCACGAGACCGAATTATACCCTGTGCTGTAATGATTTTTATGTAAAAGACTACGAGTCGTAACTTAGGCATTAAGAGAGCACATTTGTCAGCTTGCAAATACCATTGTTCATCCACTTGGCGCTTTCTAGAGTAGGAAACTCGCCATCACCAAATACAGTATCGATATCACAATTCACAACAATTAACACGAGCGGCAGACTGAAGCATCGCGCGTCAATAGGTCAACTGTTAATGCATGGAGAATGGGTTTGGGTTCTGTGATAAAAACTACCATAACTGTCCTGTGGACGATGGAAGACGGCGGTGGGCATTATCAATCTTGCCGGTGCAATTATCAGCATCATTTGAACAGACTGAACTGGTTGCTGCTATACGGCTGTTTTTTATCGGTGTTCTTCCTACTTTCTTACCCATTATGCAATTCTAGTATGAATATTGCTTTCGTGTACACACTCAGGGTAGCCAGACTATCATTTACTTATTAACAAAAACAAAAGTCCTGCTACCGGATTTCATTTACATTCAGTTACCCTAGTAGTTTACTAGAGGATTATTATGCGTCTAGTATGCGCGCGGCTGCTGGAAATCGTAATGAGTCTCTTATTTAAACGCCCTGTTTTTATGTACAAAGAGAGATCTATTGATTCATAACGTTTCCAAAACTATATTCGATCATAGGTAAACCAATCCAGTGTTGGATACCACAGGAGTTCACGCGTGGCTGGGAGGAGTATGCTGAAAACTACTGCTGGGTCGCTAGCACCTACTTTTCACCCCTCGATAAGCGACTTCCTTCGACCGGCGATCGCAGTGCCAATCTCATCGTTTACTATCAGTGGGCTCCCATCTTGATGGCCATTCAAGCACTCCTGTTCTACTTGCCCTGTCTTATCTGGCGATTATTCTACTGCCACTCTGGTTTTAACGTGCGGCGAATCATGCAGATGGCAAACGACTCAAACATTCTATTGCCGGAACATGGATTTAAAAATGTTCGTTTTATCGCTCGTTACATGGAGAGTTGCATTTACCGACAACGTGACTACAAGAACCGAGACTATGGTCGACGGGACAACAATGCACGATCTTCAATGGCGCCTGCAAATTTCCCTTATCAAACCTCCTACCGGATGGGCTTACAGCAATTTCCCGTCTCCGGTGCTGGCCCAGAGACGCAATTCCTTGCGACGAGTGAACGTCCAGAGCACGGTCTACCTCCACCCCAATACTCCAAGTCGGTGACTGAGAGTGCCACGTCAGAGACTCGTGGCACTGTCTCCAGACCGATGCACCACAGGGGAGTTGTGCGAAGTAACGGGGAAGCGACGGGATCTCTCAGTCTCTCCAGGCGTCACAAATCGCGAAATTCTCTATGTGAGAGGCTGAAATTTGGTTTCCGCAAGGGTTCCCGTTCGGCCCTGTTAGGAAGACGGAGCAGAAAGTCGCCTTTAAACCCTATCACAGACAGCCCCGCTATACCGGGCGTGCTCTCCGTGTCTTGTGATCTCGGAGAGCCCGTCGGTGGTCTTGGCAAAACATCAGCCCATAAAGGCTGTTTTAATCAATCTCAGTCAAAACCATGGTGCTGTGGCAAGCGAAGTGGAAACTTTCTGGTCGTCCTTTATTTCTTTGTCAAGGTTCTTTATCTGATCAACATCGTTGGGCAGCTTGTGCTCATGGAAAAGTTCATTGCACCAAATTATGCCTTCTACGGCATTCGAGTGCTGTTGGATCTGATTCAAGGTACACAATGGTACACGTCAGGAAATTTCCCACGAGTGACATTTTGTGACTTTGAAGCCAAGAAGCTGGGAAAGAACCAAAGGCAAGTACTCATGCAAGTTTTCTTACTAGCTATGGCAGTATTAAAACTATTTGCCTGACTTCATAAAGAGAACGGTCTATTACTACCATTGATAAGATTTTTGATGTTAGGCATTGCTGAAGATTAGAAAATCCGAAGAAAGCAAAAGATAGATTAATTTTTACGACACTTTTAGGCAAACTAAGAAAGTCCTTTAGCACGAAAACATTGCAGACGAGATCTTTCTTCTGTCTCTTCGTCCGATTAAATGGTCTATTTAAGTGTCCGTAAAGTTGTAAGAAAATGACGTTAAAGGGAGAGTGAAAATAGGTTGTGGCTGGCACAAATAATACTGACAAGTTAGAAGTAGTGTCGACTAACTTTGGAAGAACGGAACAACCATTTGTGGCCTATTTCTCATCATTAGACAACCCCACCAACACTTGAGGCGCTGAGGGACCAAAGGCTGTAAGCCCATTTCAGTGGGAAATTTCGAAGTTTAAGTCTAAAACTCATGAAGCCTGAGCTACTGGGCTTGTCATCATACGCGATTCGACCGCAATGCGAATACTTGATACAGGGTTCCAAGTTAATAAACTCCAAGCAATCCCAAATGTAGCCGACGGAAGATGAGCCCCATGCCTCATTTGCTAAAATCCCTGAACCCGATGTGACATACTGAAACCATATTTAAAGCACCGGTGCGGTGGCAGATTTAGTTAAAGTGGTGTTATCTCATAGCGGAGTATAAGCCTGAAAAGGTGATTACAGTGATTACATTCCCAGTTTACTGAGTACCGTTTGTAAAGAAATCATCTCAGTGGGCTTGAGAATTTAAAGTACAAAGCCTAATGTCACAACCCCTTATTAGCTCGGCAATCATGCTAGAGCGTGGAGCGCTGGCCTTTCGACTGTGGTAGTTTGCAACTTGGTACAATAAAGGTGCGTCCAGAAGGAACAATATTTTTTGATACCCAATGTGTCAGTTCTGCCTGGGCGCTGCGTGCTGGGAGCTTATCAGTGCGAAACTAGCACTCCCAGGCCTATTTCCACTGTTGCAATGCTTTTTGTCTTTTTATTTTTGCCTAACTTTCCTTCAACTAAACATAAGGCAGAAGAAACGCGGGAGGTGGATGGCGAGAACTACTTCAGTTGGTATGTTTTCCGTAAAACCAAAAGCGAGTTCACATAGAAGCAAAAGCATATCCTAAGCTGCAATGAGACGAGTTAAGATCATGATACAGAGATAAGTCAAAGTGACACACCTAGCATAAGTAAAATACTAGTCTGGACATCGAGTTACGAATGAGCTATGAAAGTTATTTTGTGGCTATTATGCGAGCTGTCCTTACGCTGTTAGTTCAACTTGAGTTTTGACTGTACACATTTTTGATACACTTGACGAAGTTTTAGGAGTTTATTTCAAATTGTTATGCTAGTATAAAAAGATTTCAGTGTAAAGGTGTAAATTGGTGAACGTAATGACCATGAAAGAACCTCGAAACAGGCCGTAAGGGTTTGGTCGTGCTCAAAGCTCAAAATCACATACTAGTGTCTCCTGCACAGACCGAGTTTAAAGACAGACGTAGGAACAAACGATAATTCAAAGTAAAATAGAGTCTTAACATTGATACCTAATTTGCTGACCACGGAGTATGGTGACTGACAACTGCGGAATCTCACTTTAAACATTTTCGTACGTTTTCTCAGTTCATCTTTGCAAGATTAATGTAGGTTAAGATCGACATTCGCTGTATTTTCTATGATTGTGATCCGTAAGAGTATTTGTGATATAAATATGCAAAGCCTAAATAAGTAGAGCAAAAATGTCAATGGATGGGTTTGCGGCAATTCAAGCACACTCCAAATGCATGACAACTTGTATTTAAAGTGAGAGGCAACTTATGACATATGAAAATAAAACTCCGAGAATCGCAACAAAGGGCGGTTCTGTGTGTTATTGAGAAAGCAGCAAGGTTTTTACAATGTCGGCAATTATTTTTCATCTGTAAGTAAATTATAAGACCATTCACGCGGATAGGGTTAGTGTGTTAAATTCGCTTTCTGGAGGTTGAGGCGTAGGTAGACTGCGGTTAGTAAATCATTCTGCCTACCAGTGCGACAGGCAAAGCAAAGTTTCAGCCATTCTCTTCCACAGTAAAACAACATATAGGACCTCTTAAAAAGGACGGATAGTATGTTGCTCGCACGAATTAGTATTGGTGTGTTAGGAGGGCTAATAGATTGTGCTAATGGATTTATACAGTACTTACCGAGGTCAATATGACGGTTGACGTTGTTGACACCGAGATGTCAAGCCCAGAAAAACCTGCCTGTCTGATGCACACTCCGCCATTGCATCCTAACTCAACTGACAGCTATATTTTTTTGCCAAAAATTGCCTTCTTATTTAGTACAAAATCACTTGGCTATTAAACAACGGACTCAGTAATCGACAAATTGGATAAATAATATTCCGTCCAAAAATGGGGCATATATTACTAGCTTCCATCTGAAAACAACAGTAAAGTCGAAAAAATATTGTAATAGCAGGCCCAGACAACGCCAAAAATCTCTTTGATATATCCACTTTTCGATAACTTCACACGATCACGCCACGGTCGTCTTAAAGAGAAGCACGGTTAAATACCGCCATCAAATATTAAACAGTGATGTCTCACTAAAACGTTTTACTCACAAATTGAAATTAATAACAGCTCACGGCCTCGAAACTCTTGTTTCAGGTGTAAACTCAAGCGCTTACACTGTCCTTGTCTACCTTCTAAAAAGAAGTAATTCAAAATAAAATTTAAACATGACCTTGAATAGAATAGCAACAAATGCTTGTCTAGCAGTGAATAGAACGATGGCTCTCATCCATTTATGTCTAATGGGTACACACCGGGCCTCGTCAAAATGTACTACCACGGGTCTGGAGCGCCATCGAAAACAACCAGGACACAAAGTTGCCCACATATTCGGCGCCCTCTGCTCTCCTGTGCACGTCGGTTACAACGTTTGATACTTGGCGACCCGTCTTCTTCAACATAAACGGCTGCCCGGCCGCATGATCCCCTACCGCTCGTTCCTGTGTTCTTACTGAAAAATGACCATTGTTTTAACTGGGAGACAATCGAGGTTATTATGACTCCTGTCAGACGTTTTGGTTTCTCTTGACTCGGCCCTTCATCGTCGATATTTCTAAGCAGCTTATTGAACGAAGGGTGAATTATTCAGTCCTATAAATGAGTCACACTGGATGTTTCCATTTGCGAAGCATCGAGACATGACAATCGTATATCATTCACGATTCCAATTCTGGCAGCACTTGTTCGTATTGTGCACGTATTGACAGTATCTTGAAACACGAGATAGATACAGATATAAATACTCATCCTCTACCACAGGCACCCTAGAGATAAACTCCAGCTGGGTATTCGTGCTCGTGTCCTAATTATAACACAAGTCCAAAATCTAACTCAAATGCTTGTCCTTATAACCCCAACATTAACCTTTCTAGCTCTTGCGCTGACATTGGTCCATATTCATATCCCCGTGATTTGGCACGTTATAAGCTATTTTATGGGAATGCTTTTAATTGTACTTTTGGAAAAAAGGGAAAGCGCAAATGAAGAACAAATTCCTAGCTTTACTATGAAGTTACCGGTTTCAAAATACTTCTGCGTTCCCAATTGGACCTCAAAGTAAAATTGACGACACGATTCCGTTATCAAAAAAATAACAAGAGTTTTAACTTTAGTTTCAAATCACCTGCTCTAGAATGGTTGGGATTCTTTGACTGAAAATAATATGGCAACAATGCGAGTGAAAAAAAGTAGATAATACTTATATTCTTTATTCCTTAAAACTTCAACCTTCTGTAGAAGTTGTTGTTTTTTAACGCTCCGCACTGAAGCAAAACTTTAGTCAGTTCATTAGAACCAAAAAAACAAATTATGGCATGCATTTAGACGAGTTTTTCTGGAAAATACGAAAACGTTTTTGCAATTTTGCTGCGAGGGGGCGTTCTAACTGATTTAGTAAATTGCTATATACCGTTTCTGCTCTTTTGTCTCTGATGATGGATTCGAGTAGGAATCCGAAACATCAGGATAATAAAGCTCTTGTCCCGCGATCGTGTCTCCTTCTTCAAAAATTGCTATACTATTTTATGACTGTACATTTGAGTATGAATGCAGTGTTTTGGTAAAAGAGCATAGCGTAACATTCTATACTAATCCTTAGAGGAAAAAAGACTTTGGACCTTTAAATCATGTTCTTTAATAAAACTTTAGAAAGGCTGGTACTAATTTGCTTATAGGATTAAAAGATGACTCCTGAGAAATAGTCAGGTGGGAGATGGGGTCATAAGAATAAGAAACTAGTTTGCCTTCCGCTTCGGATGCAGACTTGGACCTACCATCAGAGACAGCCGCATAGAAGGGCGAGGCAGTAATTACAGAACGTCATCGTCACGCATCTGTATGTCAGTCACAAATATCAACTGTTCGGCGACCCAAAAACTGATACGGGGCAGTGACAGCTTGTTTATTCGCACAAAAGTCATTAAAAAGCGTACTTTCATCACCTTTGATGATTGTTGACACGGTGACTACTTAATAATATTACTCACCGACACAGTTGCTGGAAACGGTGTTTAGTTGCAAACTTGCAGTTTGGTCAATTATTCCGATTGAGCAAAATTTCAACATCAGATATGGAGGTGAGGTGTCACTGCGGCTGTTAGTCGAACGTCGGCAGGCTTGTCCCGGTTTTTATGCCACGTAATGACAGAGTACCTTATAGGAGACTGGAAGATCAGGACGTCCGTTGATTGAGCTGGCATTTGACTACCAGGCCTCAAGCTAGTCGTCTTGTCTTTGAGTCATCGTGGCTTACGGTAGGTGCTACAGGAGGTTTAACGACTTGGGCGGTTTCTGCAGTGTGCGCTACAGTCTGAGAGTTTAGATCCAGCCTTTGCTGGTAACATTTTTGCGAATCCTCACCGCGAGGGATATAAGGCCGTCGCCCTCTCGATTTCACCTTGACAAGGTCTGCAAAGTATTGTCAATCCAAAAATAAATAACACACTACATAGTCAAATCAGAGCAGAAAGTGCCTGTCACTTTATGCATTCATTCCCTGATTTGAAGACAAATAACAGAATTCAGAAAAATGTTCAACCCGATTCAACTAATGCACACTAATCTCTGTTATAACTCCCACAAAATTAATTGCATGAAGTTCTTGCTTCAGCCTTTTATAAGTTCAAAAACGGGCAATTACTGAACGAAAGCATTAATTATAGGGTTGTACAATGGTGTCTCGTATCATAATTTGAACAGGCCAGAGGCAGTAAAACATGGAGCAAGTAATGTCAGCGGAATTTTTAAGACCTCCCGTCCATCCGCGGAGGATATTCTATAATTTCCAAGCTTGCAGTATGATTAAAAGCCTTCAAACACAAACGGGCCGGTTAGGCGTATAAAGGACAGGGGACTTGGGTCATACGTGCGGTAGGCTTGGTAAGAGGGGGTTTGGTATTTTTGGCTCAGCTTCGACTATTGCTAAAGGTTTCCAATGTGATTGGGGCTACACAGAGTGCAGCAGTAGTCAACGACGTGGGCTAGGGATAAGAGGATAGGAGAGGGTTAATTCCTCTCTCTAACTTGCGGTATCAATAATGGTTGGACTGTGCACGATACCCTTAATCGTTTCTTGGCGTTAAAACAAAAACAATGCTGTTGGGTGCTGTGTCTGGCCACTATCCACTGTTGACTTCAGCATGACGTCGATACCTGATTTTCGGCTCACAGTGGTCATGTGAGTATATGCTCAGTCAACCAAATCAGCAAATTCTTTTGCCCATTTACAATCTCAAATACACGCAAACTCATAAGCACGGTTTGATGTGGTAAACATAAGAATATTTGAATAGGTCTGAGTAAAACATTTATAATGGGGTCTAAATCAAAAAGTAGCATGTGGTTTATGTCTGCTCAATCGTAAACCAGAAACCATCACTCGATGGGTTCGGACATGTCATCACGCCTTGGGACATAGTGCTCACATTTCTGGGTTCCCGGATGAAGAGGCCTGTTCCAATAAAAACTCGCACACCCACGACACTCCTACCTCAAACCAGTGCTATGAGCAGTCCGACCAGATCCCTCTGCCATTTATATGCCCATTTCACCCGTCTGATCTAAACTGTTTTTTTTTCATCATATTAATAGTTTGATAAACATGCACTGATTGTTCACACTTCGCTAAATTTTGTGTAGCATTTAATTTTGTATGTCTTGTCATCCTTGCCTTTTTCAAAAACTTTATTGTACCATTTGTGACAACAGTAAAATAAGTGCATTCCTCTTATGCTTACTATGAAAGCATTTGAAATCTTGTATTAGACTTAAAGGTTATTTTTGAAAGGGCAAACTAAATACGTTCACTTATTTTTAGTGGCACAAAGCATTTGTTCCCATTGTTGATCGTCAAGTTTTCAGATCGACTTTCCAGCGAATATTTTTACGAATGATTATTGCCAGCTTCAATTAGTCACACACTGTCATGCTTGCAATGCGTCTGTGTAAATTCTTCATTTTAAGGTGCGTGACAGCAACTTCTTTAAATCTAATCTACGCTGTTCAAACTTCATTTAGTTACATCATTTTTGTTTCTAGTCCCCACACTTTATATAGCTGCTAATTCCAGTTTTAAAATATGACCTTAAGCGAAATATGTGTTCTCATATTTTGCGGCCATTTGCTTAAACTGAACAGCTCTTGAATTCGTACGATTACACTGAAGCCTAGAGTGATCTGCTTATTGTGCTTTAAGTTTAGACCAACCCCCCGTTGCATTATTACAAAATTTGAAAAGCCTCTGCGTGTTTTACAGGCTTATCCTGAGTGTATATGGACTAAGCTAAGAGATCTGTTCAGTTTTAAGCCACTTGTAGACGGCAAGAGAACTGGTGCGGATGGGCAGCACACCACATTCTACTGTCCTGTTTATGTTTAGTCAATCCTCTCTTAAGCATTCATCGAGAGACCGAGAGAACACTGGAGGACTGGGACATGACAGGCATGCGGCGCAGTCGCCATCGCCCACTCGCGCACTACCAGCAAAGCCGAACGTACGCAGCGAAAGCGTTCTGCCCAGAACTTTTGTACGTTGTTAAGGCAAAATTAGCGCAGCAGTCTGCTCGAGTTAGGGGCAAGTATGGAAAAGTAAGGAGTGCACAGAAGGGTGCTGAGCATGAGTATTGCTCATTAAAAATAAATGTGAGCTAGAGTTTTTTGCCCATGACCGTTCTACTCGGTCTTTACTTTCTAAATTGTTTCAGTAATTCGTTATTCAGCGAGTGGAAGATATTTAGATGACGTCCACACATTTCTAAACGAGAAATACTAATTTGCGCAACAGATAACGTCCGATTTATAGTCCCATTTTGATAGCAAATTATTGAATTGTGTGTTAAAGGGAATTTAACCAAAACGTTTCGTCGCACAGAAAGCACAACGCGTAACAGGGTCATTTTAATGAATGTAGTATACTTTATTTCTGCAGATACGTCGTTCTTGAATACTTTGGTTGTCATACATGTTATATTCTGCTACATCTTAGAACTTTGAAAAAAGTCGCCTTGAGCACCCATTAAACGCATATCAAAATTGCGTTAGGCCAGCGACTGAGTCCACGAGGCGTCATATACTTCACGCGGGTCCAGAACGTCTTCATTCTCTGTTCAGATTGCAGTGAACCATTAGTTTCAGATTGCGATGTGCGAGTATACAAGTTTTGTTTAACTTTTGGCGTCATGCCAGATCTCAATTGCTCGTGTATTATTTTATTTATTTTTCTAAATCCCAGGTTATGAACCCACATGTTATCTTTACAGTCATCCCACATTCCATCACCTTAAAGGGATTTACTAACATCTACGCCCAAACTCATGTCTTACATTCACACCTACACCCCGCAATATTAAATTACTCGCAGATAATACCTCACTCGTCAGTATTACTTCCACCGCCTAACTTCCACCTAAAAAACACTAAAACAGACCTGTTTACTCGAACAAACACCTCTGCATTTGCTTTATTTTATTGCGTCCTCAAAGGAAGTTCTTTTAATGGGAACTTGGTGAGCTAGATCACATTGTACACAAAATTCCATCGGACAACAGTTTCAATTTTAAGGTTTTGTCAACAGCATAAGGAAAGCGTTTGACAAATAATAAGATCGGTGCCCTTTTTATTTCTTTGAAAATTAATACGCGAACTTGTCTCTAACTCTTTGGAAAAAAAGCTTTCTAATTCTTTCTGACGGTACCTACGAACATTACTTTGCCGGATACCCGAAAACGTTATTTATCTGCCTAATTATTTGTGGTAGAAAGGCACGCTTGACCTATGGAGAATGAGAAGCGACGCAATGTTTCTATAAAATAAGTACCGATATGATCGTCTCTGAAGATACTGCGGGACTTTTTGTACAGGCGGCATGCCGCATGGCTTTAACATGCTTATGCTAAGACCTGAAAATTAACGATAGATACTATTGGGTCGTGTCAGATATTTTAACCAGACTACAACTTTATATGTAATCGGTATCTGCCATGCTAATTGTCTTCAAATAATTCATCCTAATAAGATATTACCACGGAATATTAGAGCTCCTCGACTGTTTAAAGCTGACCGACAAACTTCTATCTCATTAATCAGAGAGCTTATTTTGTCAGGTCTTGTTTCTGACTAGATGCTTGAAATAGGTCCCATCCGTAATTATATTTTCCCTCTGTGCTTCTCTAAGCTATCTAAATCACCGTCATCGAGATCCTGGTAATTTCACAGTGTATGCACTCTCTGAACGTGGGTAATTATTGAAAAACAATGTGATGTAGTCTTCCACTTGAGAAACGATGTGGCATGGCAACTTCCTCCAAAACCAACTTAGCTTAAGCAGCTACGTGCATCAGTCAAGCAAGATCGATGGAAATCCAAGTTGCCGCGCGCGGCGTAAAATTAATATAAATTATGCGCGCATGCCTTTACGGACGCGCGTAATTTTGGATATGCTAGCTTTTCCCAAACGGTGAACCAAAGGCGGTCGACGGCAAGTTGCATGTCTCGCTTGATTAGGCCCTGCTGTAACTCCTCTTGCATGCCCCAAATCTACTTTTGATTTGACCAAGCTAATCAAATGGAAAATTTACAATGTCTAACTACAAAAAGCATTAATTCAAAAGAAATTTTTAACTAAAGCTATGCACAAAACCAACAGTACAAAACAACGACCGTTGGAAGAGAGTGATTCATGAAGAATAAATTTAAATGCGAACTTTTCACTGTGAATAACATGCAATCTCTATCTAGTCTGTCACCTAAGCAAGTAAATGCCACACGACATGACTTTTCTTAATTCGCATTGTTTCCTAACGCCGAGAGGTAAATATTTGAACCAACTAACCTGCCTGTGCACACTTGTTTGGTTAACATTAGCCATCGCCGTAACCAAATCGGTTAGTGACCTACTGGCTAACATTACCTTTACGATGTAAAAAATATTATCCCGGTGCGCTATGACGACTAAATTTTTTTATTCGTTAAAAACTACCTTCTTAGGTTTGACACATAATGCGCACATATTTAAGACCCAAACCATAACTCAACTTTGGAAATCGAACAGGAGAATGTGAAACTGATTAATTGCTGTGCAGTATCTGTCCAGAAATTTCTGGCTTCTTTGCCGGCTCGAACATTTCAGTGATTATCTATTCATCATTTATTTGGGTGTTATGCTAGTATTTGTTACGTGTTCTTATTTGTATGTAAGGCACACAAATTAAACAATGGTCGTTTAAGTGCCCACTTATAAAGCATACGCTTAAATACATGTAGTCATGCAATGCTCAACATCGTATATTTTCACCATAATAGGCGGGAACCTATCTTCCAAAAAAATCAATTAAGCATTTTTGCACAGGTTTCCTGAAAAACATGCAGAATAATTTTAGAACATTTTGCTTTGAAGTGAGTATCAGCAGGTGACCTGGAAGGGTACCTGCCGATAGCCGCACGATAGACTGCGGAAAGAAACTTCGGTTTATGTTTTTTACTGGTCAATATTACGACCTTAACGTGGATTTCTGGTTCTTGAAATACAGGTCAAATATTTCCAGCCATGCAACACGTGGTTTGACGTATACTTTATTTATTACAACCAGTTCAACTGGCACAGTAGATAAAAATACCGTTACACAGAAACGACATTTTAATGGTTTGTTTGCAGAAGGACATATTATCAGTTTATTTCCAGAATTAATCATTCCAACATTCAAAAAAGTGATTGAAATTTCGTTTACCCATTAGAAAATTTCTCCGGAAATATTATTTATTAGGAATCAACTTTACATCCAAAATAATAATAAACATCAAAGGAAACAGGAATTTTTAGATACGTATGTAAATAACACTTAGCCTTTCAGGAAAAACGCATGTGCATCTCTTAAAATGCTTTCTACATCTGACTTTGGATTTGCAAAACGCATCACGGAAGACTCTGGTCTCAGGATCAATCTTTAAAATGTGTAGTTCCTTGAAGTAGATAACCTTGACATATACTAAATAGCAGCGTTTAAGCAGAGTCGACATTCACTTTGTTCCTGGTGTTGAAAACCATATGACGTCGGTGAGATTAAAACTGACAACAGCAAGGGGTAGACTTGAATACAGCCAACAGTGAGCCACCTGAGCTAGGAGGCCCCACCGGGAACCATGAATTCAGTTACCAGCTCAGCCTATTCTAAGGCATGGAATCCACCGAATTTAACTGCCAAGTCGGATTTTCAAAGTAATGAATCTAGAACTTACTAGGTTTCTATCAGACTCATTTAATGAATGCGCGTTTTAGCAGATTCGGAATAAGCCATTATGACTCAGCGTTGCAGTCGACTGCGAGGGTAACTTGACGCAACTGAATTAAGTTTCACTTGTTTAAATCAAATGGAGTTTTTCAAAATCTCCTGAAAAACTTATTAATAGAATCGAGATTATCGAACATGATGGATTTATAAAGAAAAACAACTTTTGAAGCCAATTACTTCTGCACACTAAACAGTAAAACAGGTTTTCTAAAACTAAACAGGAAATAAAATAGTATAAAACTGATATTGTGTCGAAAACATTTGGTAGTTGGACACAATTAAAATACCCGAAGGTTTTTACGAACGATAAATAGATAGATGTTGTGATGTCGACGGCCACATGTCTGCGTAGATATAGAGAGAAGATAAAATAAATAAAATAAAGGAACTTTTTCTGAAAAGTTTTCAGAATATTAAAGTTCCAGTGATAAAGGGGGGCCAACTTGAATTATAATGGTCTTCTGGATAGCTGCTGTTTGCTTACTTGTGTGCACATGACGCTCTTACAGGTAAGCACAATGACATGTCCATACCTCGACGACACTATGCACACATGGTCAGGTACGCAGAGGTCTTTTGTGAAACTATGAAATTACTGAAGTGTAATTCAAACCCTGTATTTGCCTTTATCTGATCTTAGATTCCTTTGAAAGGAACTTATATCTGGTTTGAGAATGCATTGATATGGTGCAAAAACCATCTAACATAAGGTCTCTTAAATTTTCAAGTTGGAGTTCCCATTTAACAGTGGGACCAAAAGTAAATAATAGTTTCCATTGATTAAAAACTGAAAAGACCCTTAAAACCGTACTAACGTCATTAAAGTCCAACAATTTCTCGAAACTTTATAAACAAATACATGCTTTACACATGTGTAAGTTACCTTGTTGCGTGGCTTGCAGACTGTTTTCAACGACGTCCCCTTATCCATTAATGATACAATCCAAATTATTAGGGACAAGCTTTGAACGTCTGACCTCAAAAATGGGGTCAACCATTTTTGTGACGCGTTGTCAAAGAGCATTACAGTTCTTGATTAAATGCTTCTACGGAACTTTTATCGGCCGTGAATTTTCAATTCCGTTTTCCACGTATTAACCTCAACGTTTGTATTGCCTTGATGTGTAATTACAAAGGAAAGCCCTGAAGCTTGGGTGTCGCTCTCCTTTTTGGGCGGAAAGTGCAGTTGCTTTTAAATCAATCTTCTTTGGTTGAATTCATTGCGACTCAAATCGTCTCAGAATAGCAACTGGTCGTGTGTCTAGTTTTCATTTTCCATGCTCAGAGCACTTGTTATCTGCTAGATTTATTGTAGAATCCGCCCAGCTCTTCCCTTGTTAGTATTAAAAAAACACGCATGGAGATTTACTCTTTTAAATTTCCATTGTAGATACACAATCCAATGTGTTCTGCCGCTGAACATGTTCCTCGAAAAGATTTTCGTCTTCCTCTGGTTTTGGCACTGCATAATTGGCATAATCACCTTGTTCAGTTTCTCCAGCTGGTTCTTGCGGATGGGGTTCGCACGCTATCGGCTTAAGTTCATCCGAAGGTTCCTCAAAATCATGGCAGTACTAAAGGACACCGACAAAAATGCTTCACACAAATTTGTTGAGAACTTTCTTCGTCCGGACGGTGTCTTCCTTATCCGTCTGATCTCCATGAACGTCGGCGACATTATAGCTGGCGACCTTGCGTGTGAACTCTGGCATATATATCGACATAAGCGAATGCAGAACGCTGAGGAACTGAAATACATTGAGCCTATACCACATTTGCCCAATTTTCTTGGTCAGCACACATTAGGACGGCCAGCTAATCTGCCGCAGGACGAGTTCAGCGTAATATCTGCGCCACCGCGGGAGAAGATCCTTTTGGCTATGAGCAACGGAAACGACGACAGTATAGTATGAGATTTCCCCAAAAATATGGCCAGCTCCCGCTGGCCCTTCTCCCAGGACAATCCCTGGAGGAATACACATTCGTGTACTTGCCACTCCTTTCCTCTAGCAGCTGCCCCTGACCTATCTTGGTCTCCAAACGCGTCCTAACAGAGGGGCTATTCACAGGAAACACTAATCTACAGATATACATGTGTCAACCCAACTGCGCTCATCCTCTCCATTTTCTAGTCGGAGGAAATGACACTGGAAATAAAACCCGGAACACAACCGGTGACCATGGC